ACAAGCACCACAGCAGAGCTAAGTTCAAAATGAAATGGGACCAGGTGTGGTGGCTCACCCCTATAATTCCAGCACTTTGGAAGGCCGAGGCAGGTGGATCATTTGAGGTCAAGACTTCAAGACCAGCTTGGCCAACATTGTGAGGCCCTGTCTCTACTAAAAATACAAAAATTAACCAGGTATGGTGGGAGGTGTCTGCAGTCCCAGCTTCTGTGGAGGCTGAGGTAGGAGAATCGCCTGAATGCAGGTGGTGGAGGTAGCAGTGAGCCAAGATCATGCCACTGCACTCCAGCCTGGGCAACAGAGGGAGACTCTGTCTCAAAAACAAAAAAAACTGAAATGGGATCACTGAGTAGTGAGCTGGGTAGGATGCTCAGGGAAGGTGTCATGGCAATAATTTTTGCAGAGCCTAGAACAATAGGAAGGAGCTCACCCGGGAGGGGAAAAGTCAGAGGGGAGTGGATAGAAAAGAGAAGGGAATATTCAAGGCAGAATCATCCATGCAGGAAGCAAGAGAAACCTTAGGAGGGCAGCCAGGTTCCAAGTTGGGAGCAGAAGAATAGAACCAAGTGGGCTGATGACAGATCTGGAAGGGCCTTGGAGGCCAAGCTGAGGAGCTGAGATCCCACCAGGCGGACCTCACGTGGGAGGTGACAGCATCAGATCTGCTTAGGAGGAGGCCTTGGAGCAGTCAAGGGGAGGAGACTGCGTGTGCAGTGGAGGCTGCTGTGAGGGAGTGGCTGTCCCAGAGCAAATGGGAACAGGGCAGGCCAGCTTGGGGCCCAACAACCCAGGGATAAGCAGGTTCTGCTGGTGCTGAGACCCACAGTCTCCTGGAGATAAACACTAGGGCAGTGGTCAGGGGCCCAGATAAGCCCTTGGCCTTTGGAATGCCTCTCTAACTAGGGCACCAGCAGGCAGAGTGGGGTTTCCTCTGACTTCTCAGCCCTTGGGCCGGCAGTCACAAGATAGCAACAGAGCACACATAGCTCAGTGGGGCCCAGGACACCGGCTGCCTGGGTTTCTTACCGTCTGTGAAAGTCAGTGTTCTCCTGTTAGAAGGAACAGCAATGGCACCTACCTGGCAGGGTTGGTGTCAGGGTCAAGGTTTAATCATGGAAAGTGTTTAACGCTGCAGAACACAGTGGGCCCCAGGGAAATATAAATGCTAGCGAGGAGTGAGCCCTTTGCCACCATGCCACGTGAAATTAAAACTGCTCTGATCGGAAGTGGATGGGGAGGAGTCAACCTTTTCCCTGTCCATTCCTTGCAGTAGGCCTTGATGAAGCTTTTCTACTAGTTTGAAAATCACTGGACTTTGACTGGGCATGGTGGCTTATGCCCCTAATCCCGGTATTTGGGAGGCCAAGGCAAATGAACTTCTGAGGTCAGAAGTTCAAGACCAGCACGAACAACATGGCAAAATCCTTTCTCTACTAAAAATACAAAAATTAACTGGGCATGGTAGTGGGCGCCTGTAATCCCAACTACTCGGGAGACTGAGGCAGGAGAACTGCTTGAACCCAGCAGGTGGAGATTGCAGTGAGCCGAGATGGCACCACTGCACTCCAGCCTGGGGCACAGAGCGAGACTCTGCATCAGAAAATAAATAAATCACTGTACTTTGCATTCCTGGGGTTAATTTCTACATGTATTTACTAAACCGGAGGGTTCAAGTAGGGTTAGCTGCTGGTGCCAGGCCTGGAGCACAGTCTGGGGGTGGAGTCTCTATTCCTCCTCAGAGAGCCCAACGCAAGAGCCTGAGGGGGATCCGGCGAGTCACCCGCCACCAAAGAGCATCAGTAGGACAGCCTGGCCTAGGTCCTTGCTCCCCAGCACCAGAAGCTGGGCTTTGTGTCCTGAGAGGGACAACTGTCTGCATCTCACTCCAGACACAGACATCCCTGCTGGCCGAGGAGGAAGGCCTTAGAGAGGGGTTTCCCTGAAGAAGAAAAACATCTCCCCAACAGAATAGGAAGCTGTCACCCTTTTCCAAGATATGAGGCCTGGAAGGAAATTCTCCTTCATGTTTCGGTTATAAATGAGTTAATCCAAGTTACGTACTTAACACATGTTAAACATGCAGTGGGTCTTCACTTAGAGCTGTTATTTTTACTCCATAATCCCAATTTTTCTTATATCTATTAAAGTCAGCATGGTGTTGAGTGAGTTGAGTGGGTGTTCAGAGTCCAATAAATATACAGAACTGCAGTAAAAATTCTGGCCAAGAAAAACACTCTTATATTCTTCATATTATGAATAGACAAAAGAGATTCACACAATATGACATGCTCTATGTGACGCAAAAATGAATCCTTTCTAGTTTGGCTCAAGGTCACTTTGCTATCATGTTAATGCCCAGAATTTCTAGCTACGCCAGCTCCTGCAGGAATTCTAGCAGCATTTACAGCTCCAGCATCCCTCTATCCTGAGTGGGATGCTGTGCAGTTAAGGATCTTTCCTGAGAACGCTAATAAGTGAGATTTTATCACAGCATTGCTGATCCCAAATTAACAGGACAGTGGCAGTTCTAGAGGCAGCCTGTAGCTTCCATTAACAAAGGTTAGCTATTGCCAAAGGCAGACCAGAATAGAATACTCTGGGGAGTAACATAGTATCTTATTAAGTTAAAAATACATTTAATGGCTTTCGTATTGGTTTCTTATTTTGGAATGAGGAAAAAAATATAGATCTCATAATCACCGTAGTCTAAGTAAAAAGCCACTTTAAAAAAATAATATGTATTTACCTACAATTCTGCTTATGAATTATTTTTGTATAGAGTACACAAAGTCCCTCAAAGGACAATGGTAACTCTTCCTGTAACTGCATCAAGCTACTTGCAAGGCTAAACTTAGGGCTTATTTGGAAGAAATTAAAAGTGGTACAAGATTTTAAAATCAACTTTTTTTTTGAGACGGAGTATCTGTCACCCAGTCTGGAGTGCAGCTCACTGTAACCTCCACCTCCCGGGTGAAGCAATTCTATTGCTTCAGCCTCCCGAGTAGCTGGGATAACAGGCGCATGCCACCATGCCTGGCTAATTTTGTATTTTTAGTAGAGACGGGGTTTCACCATGTTGGCCAGGTTGCTCTCAAACTCAGGTGATCTGCCCGCCTCAGCCTCCCAAAGTGCTGGGATTACAAGCATGAGCCGGCGCACCAGGAAAACTGGTTTTGATTCAGACAAGCCAAACCAGTTCAGAAAAAGTCTCCAAGACTCCTATCCCCACCCTACTTTGCTGTTTCCCTGTTAAAGGAAAAAAATGTTATTTGCACCCATCTTCAATCACTGAACTTTTGAGCATTTTCTTAAAAAGAACCTAAGAGTTGGAAGCAAGGGCACAGAGTTCTTATCCTTCACTTATGTGCACTGAGAAAGAACATATCTTACATCATTTATGGAATAACAGACTGTTACAGCAAGTTCAAGCTTACCTCATTTCGAATGACCTGCTAACTGGTCCACTGATGGGGTAAGTTCTAGAGCCCTGCACCCTCCAAGATGCCCAAGGATGGGGACTGTCTGAAGGAACGCTTTGGTTGGGTGGGAAGTAGCAGTCCCTGAGCTGACTGTGATGGAATCAAAATAACTGCACAGGTGTTAAATGCTCCATGTGGGTAACACCCCTCACATCCCACCCCCTTCTGTTCCCAAACACAAACGAACCGCTCCATCTTCTTTCTCCTCCCAAGAACTGCAGTGCTGCTCTCCTTCAACCCCACCAGCTTCCCAGATGTGCACGGCTGGTAACCAGGGCTTTGGCAGGGTCCTTTGCAGGGCTGAAAGTGGGGGTCAAAGAGGTCACCGTACTCCAGGGGCTGAGCTACTCGTCCTTGGTCAGGATGGACAGGCCCCTGCCTCAAATAAAGGCTAGAAGTGTTTTCTTCTGGGTGACTTCTTCCCTATACAGAAAATGGCTAAGCTAGCTGAGGCAATCTGTAGTTGGCTTCAGAATCAGCAAAAGGGAGGGGAAGAGCCTCACAACAAACAGTGGTAACAGAAGGTTTGTGTGGGAAGGTGGTTGAGTTTGGTCTAAAACAAGCAGTGTCTCTGGTAATGAGCTGTTGGTAGGAAATACGCAGCGCTTGCAGCCTTTGAAAGAGCACCACTGCTGCTTCTCGAGGGCAGGCTTTGGGCATGGGGGAGGGCAAGAGAAGTGAAGCAAAGATCCAACGAACACTAATGTGCGTGGAGGCATGACAGAGCAGTGGAGAAACCCACTGCCAAGCGTGCCATCCACAGGCCCTGCACAGAGGCCTAGCTCTGCTCTGGGCACTGGATGATCTTTGGTACCTCACCTACCTTTTCTGTATCACAGCTGGCTCATCGGTAAAATGAGGACACCTAAGCTATCAGTCAGGGTCCTGGCAGGAGACAGATGGCACATTCAGATGGAGTCACCGAGGAGAGCTTCATAAAGGGACTATTTACAAAGGGTGTAGGCAGGGTTGAGAAACTCCAATGAGGACAGTGATGTACCAGAGGCCTGGCAAAAGCAGGGAGTCAGGACTGAGACTGGCTTGAGGGACAAGGGGAGGGTGTGGCTACTAACCCCCCAAGAAGTTGCCTGACAGGACTTGTGGGCCTTGGCAGAGAAGCCCAGCCACCGCCAACCCACAGCTGGCGGGAGGGAGCCAGGGGAATGAATTCCCTGACTTCTCTGTTCTCTCTTCTGCCGGGCTCCTCCCAGAGTATCTGTGGATCCTGACAGGAAGCCAGGACAGGTCAACAGTGGCCAGCCTCCTGGAGAGAAGTGCATGGCAGCAAGGGGGCCTGGAGGGGTACACAGAGAGCCTCTAGCACACCCCAAGTACCCAACGGGGCCGGTGGGGGTGTAAAATGTCACTATAAATGCCAGCCTGGCAGTCACTCACTGCCCATTAGATCAGATTATTTGGCATTTACTTACCAAAGGGCCACCATATAACTTTATTCTTAGGTGGTAAAACCCAGGGTCAAACAAGATGTGGTCACCTACTCATAGTGAAAAACAAAACTTTTACAAAGTTGACAGATAACATTTATTAAAACATGTCATACAAAAGGGCGTGGTCTCTTCTATAAGAAGAAAATATTAAACAGTAACATTCAATTAAGTAAAACCATGCTGTGCACTGAAGACAGCAATATATAAAGACAAAACTATTCAACTTTTGCAACATAGGCATAACATTTCACAAAATATCAATAAGATATGCACCTAATGATAATCTGTTTATCATCAAATGGTTTTGTGGCCTAAGAGTCACCTGACTTGCATAAATAAAGTACTTTTCTGGACGAAACATTGGGAACCTCATAAAAGGAAAGAAGGCAGCAGCAACTAACATGACACAGGCTTCAAGCAAAAAAAAATAAGTCACATTTGCAAAATGTGTTCCAGCATCTTCCCATAGGGCACTATCAGTAGAGATCTGAAATAAGAAACTTGTACCTTTAAATATGTAAGTAGCAAAGAAAAAACCCCAAACAAACCCTGGTTTCACTGAACAAAGTTATTCACCCACTAACGCAACCTAAATCACAAAATTGGTGGCATGGAAGGGATCGGGGATAACATGGCTGGTTTCCAGCGACCCTAAATTATCACAGACCTTCCAAAAGCAAAAACCTGGACTTGTCGTGATGGCGCCCTCTCCACGTCCACCCAGAGGCCACCGCACATCCCCTTCCCCAGGGAATGCATGGCTTTGAAGCTTCTGCTATGCCTCAGCTTCACTTCCACAGCAGCTTGGGAATGTGTGAGCCTCTCATGGAGGGAGCCCCGGAGGCTAAGTAGCTTTCCCCGATGGTTAGAAGCCGGCCTTAGGGTCAGGTTAGTTCAGCAAATGCCCACTAGAATGGAGGGGATCCTTTTGGGCAAGCTTTTAAAGTAATGGCCAAAAGGGACCAGAGGAAGATGAGACCTAGGAATCAGAATCAACAGGCTGGGGCCCTGGAGCGCCTGCAGGCACCCCACAGCCCAGTAGGGAAAGTTATCGCAGTTCTTCCTTAGTTAATGGTGACATACACTTCACCATGTGGATTACTGTCATGTGTGTATCTAAAGGTAAAAACATGGTGTAAGTATAAACTTTTTTTTTTTTTTTTGGAGACAGAGTCTCACACTGTCACCCAGGCTGGAATGCAGTGGAGCGATCTAGGCTCACCGCTACCTCTGCCTCCTGGGTTCAAGCAATTCTCTGCCTAAGCCTCCCAAGCAGCTGGGATTACAGGAGCCCACCACCCCGCCTGGCTAATTTTTGTATTTTTAGTAGAGACAGAGTGTCATCATCTTGGCCAGGCTGGTCTTGAACTTCTGACTTTGTGGTCTACCCGCCTTGGCCTCCCAAAGTGTTGGGATTACAGGTGTGAGCCACCGTGTCTGGCCAGTGTAAGTATGAATATTAAATACCACTGGTGGTGCCTTGAAGCCCCTTCCCATAGGGTTGAAGAAAAACCACAGTTAAGACTCAGAGTAGAGGACAAATACCTTGGTTGTAGGCCATTGACGTGATCCCTGAAAGACTATTTGAACAATGTTACCCACAACGATCCAAACTCATTAGGAAGGACAGAGGTTTCTAAAGCTGTATTGAGGTGAAAGGAAGAGACTATTCCTCCAACCCAAGGTGGGGAGGAAAAAAAGGTAAAACCCAGAGTACAAAAATTCACTTTTAATATTCAAACTAAAGCAATGCCCTTCTCCTGCCTCTCTGAACATGGCCAGCATTTCAGATACTTACCACCTCACAGGGTCTGGTTGCCTGATAAACGATCCCAATTTCTACCAAAACCTCAAATACCACAAAAAACTTAAAAAGAACAGATGTGAGAAACTTATTTCAGTTCTACATTTAGTAGCTGATGGACACATAAGGCTTTCAAGAAGACACTCTTCTCTTCACAACATATTAAGTCCTGGCACAGCTGACTACTTCCAAAACTACCACCCAAGGCTGGCCACCACTCTCGGCTGAACAAAAACTCTTCCTCATGACAAGGGTACTATGCTGATTTCAGCAGAACTGAAGGACCACGACTCTCCTGGAGTACCTATATTTTTACCTCGCAGACTCTTCTCCTAGTGTCCTAATGCTCACAGGAATAGTCTTCAATGAGAAATGGCACAACAAACCTTCCAAACCGGCAGAAATGTTCTGCTAATACCATGGGAGAGGGTGATCAGTTTTTGGCAGAACAAAATGGCATCACCACCTTAGTACTGAAATTAGTAGGAGTAATAAAACAATTTCTCCTCAAATATAATGGCTAGGATCATACCTAAAAACCCACTGTCCTCTACCATGAGAAAAAGAAAAGGAGACATCAGGTTTGATTGTACAGTCACCTCCGTATACGTGTGTCAGATACAGAGAAAGGACTGCTAACCGGTAACGTTTCAATACTAAGAGAAGCTATTCATGTGGCAAACAACCAAGAGGTAATATCTAGTTTCTAGGTTTAAAAAAAAAACAATATATATATATTTATAATAAAGTTTTAAATACAAAGTGCTTTTTATATATCGAGAATGATACAGTGTTGTGAATAAATCCCTGTTTGTAATCTTGCTTACAAGAGTTAACTGGTAAATAAGTATTTTCTTTCCTCTTTCCAGACAATGTTCAACAAGTAAACACCTTGGTGTTAGGAGCTTGAGAATCAGAGGCCATTGCCAGCAATGTCTATTACATTACAGCAAAGCCAAATTAAAATAAAATTTCACCCCAAATCCAAGAAAAATTATTTTTATTTTAAGGAAAAAAAGTTTCTGTTTAGAAGTAAATAAACCAGTACACTTATGGAAAAGATGACATAGTAGTGGCACCCTGTCCTACCCTGGTAATAACCTCAGGTGGATTACACAGCTTAAAAGCATGTGTAACATACCTTTCTTTTTGACCTAAACCATCTAACTGATGGGCAGAAAAGGTCTCAGAATAGCTGCTTTTCTTTTTTTTTTGGTAGGCATAGCTTCGTGGACTTGAAAATTTAAGCAGCTTTATCTATAATTTGGGAGCATGAATCTGTAGACGACTTTGCTAAACTTAGGACTCCTTTCAAAACCACATTCCAGCACTCAAAGAACTGGCAGTATTAGCTCAGTGTACCCCTCTAAAGAGTATCTCCTCCACCTTGAAAGAATGTATTTTCAAGGTTCTTCTTGGGTAGCTTTTTCCCCTTAGGTATAACCACTCATAGAATCCTATCTGCTCTCTCTCCGATTGGTGGAGTGTCGCCTTACACTCTATGAACTACTAAAGTCCACAGGGAAGTCTCAGCCACAACTTGTGGCTCCTTCCCAATAAGCATGGTCGCTGACTGCCTTCTTTGTAAAGCACCATAATCTAAGACAGAGCAGGGGCTGCAGTGGCCCGTGGTACCGTGATCAGAGTCACAGCAGCTTGGCGTCTACCAGCTACAGAGTAGACCCCACTGCATGGAGGCTACAATTAAGTAAACAGGATTTGGGAAAGCAAACCAATGAGAAATATCTCTCTCTGGCATTCTAGAGAATTACAATTAGATACAACTGTTTAAACTCTATGTTAGTACTAAAATACAAAACACTGCCTTATCAAGAGTCTGAAACACCTTGTGACAGTAGTGGCATCTTATAGAAACTGAAACTTGTACCGTAAGTTATCTGTTTCATATTCAGAAAGTCACTCTCTTAGCATCTCCATAGTTTTAGTTAAAATATCCTTTAGAAAGAATACACCAGAAAGAGAGCTCTGTTAACCAATTTCTCATCCTAGGAATCCCATGATTTGTAGCTTTTACATAAGTAGCATTTCCTTCAGTGAAACAGCTACCAAATCAAATCCATATTATCTAAGTATCTATAGCAAGAGCAAAATAAAATTTCAGCACGACCTTGTAACAATGAGTGATCCAGAGCTGTTGCCACTCGAAACGGAACTGGTGGGATGGAGTCCAGTTCCAAGAGCAGGTGACTCCGTCCACCTCTCTCAATCACAACTGGTCGGAAGGTTTACCTTGCCAGCTGGGCAGTGCGTTAACTCACCCCATTACCCATTCTAGGCCAGGACTGGAACACACAAATTTCAGGAATTAGATTTTTTTAATTGGCCTACTTAGAGCTGGTCTTTCAGAAATATCTTCCTTTTTTTTTTTTAAGCTTCTCTCATAATAGCAAGTAGCACGCATCATCTGTGCCCAGATTTGCATTAATTACCATAGTTTATTTTTGTGCATGCCACTCAAGGGCCAGATCCTATTTTTAGTTAGCCTCAGTTGTATTCTGCTCAGCCTTTGCAGCTTCATAGGACTTGGTACAAGAAGTCACATGCCGGTGGAAACTGTCCCTCCACATAAACCTCTTTGCACAGATATTACACTCATACGGCTTTATGCCTGTGTGAATTTTCATGTGGCCCACGAGATGGTGCTTCATTTTGAATTTCTTACCGCAGACACCACAGCCATAAGGCCGAAGACCAAGGTGCATGCTCATGTGTCGATCTCGCTGACTCTTGTGAGTGAAACTTTTCCCACACTGACAAGGATACAGCTTGTCGGTGGCTGAGAATCCTAAGTGGGAAGCTTCTTCTTTAATCCCTGTTACCATTTCAATATTCTCACTGTAGCCTGCTGCGAGGGCAGCCTCCTGTCTGTGCCCAATTAGATTCCCATCTGACCTCTCTCCAGAAAATTCTTCCATGGAAGAGCCATAGAAATCCACCTGCTCATCATAATTGCTTTCGTCAGCCTGTTCATCAAACTCGGCTTCTACTTTTTTTTCCCCGATGTGAAAGTCCTCCTCCACTCCTGAAGGCTGGACTGTGTGCTCTGTCTGCACAGTGTTGATGGACTCTGTGACCTGGTGCTCGTCGTAGGCTGTGTGCACATCCATGCCCTCGCAAGCCTGTTCTAAACGCTCGGGCTTCACGTGGATCCAGCGTTTGTGGGCCATGATGCTGGGCTTGCTATATATGGGCCGGGCGTAGTGGAACTCGGCGCTGTCGCTGGCACCCTCCTCCCCATCCTGGCTCGCCATTTCTGTGCTGAGTCGGTCATGCTCTGTGGACGAGTTGCTGGGCAGGTATTCATGCTCAGTGAGCTGAGATGACAGCTCATCTTTGGTGCTCTCCTCTTCATTCTCACCATCCCTCAGTTCTTGGGTTTTGGGAAAATCAGTATGACCCCCAGAGCCCAACTCAAAGCTCTCTACCAGGCCATTATAACTACTGCTGCTTGGTGACTGGTGGTCACTGCCATGATTTAGCTTCTGACAAAGGACTGTAGGGTTTCCCTCTAAAACTTCAGTGCATTTGTCTACCACATGCCACATCTGGAGGAAGCTTGCCGCTGTCAGGTAACTTACAATTTCTGGAGCGGGCATTACTAGACGTCCTGTATAACTAGATAGGAGAATGTTCTCAAACACTCTTGGGTTCATCACATCAGGCAAAACAATTCTCCTGCTGTTTTTCAGGAGTACCTGGTCACAAAAGTAGGGTGAACTAGCAGCAAGAACAGCTTTGTGTGCCCGGAAAATGTGGCCTTGGACAACAATGGAGACGTCACATAATTGTCCTTGCTGGCGCTGCTGGTTCAGTTTCTGTAGAATGGTGCTGGAAAAATCAGGAAATTCTACCCGAAAAGAGTTTGTTCCAGGCTCCATTTCATCACAAATCTTGTTCAGTGCTGTAAGAGAAAGAAAAATTAGTACTAATTCCAGTCCAAAGAGAAACTGATTTTATCCCCTGCTCCATCATTAAGACAAAGTCCAAGTTCCACAAAGTACACTAGCTTATGGGCCCTAATGGGTGAAGAATTCAATCCCAAGAGCAAAGCTTGCAGGTTTGAGTTTGCCAAAAGCAGGACTCACCACTGCTCCTTGTGGAGCTCCTGATTTTGTCTCTGTGTCTGTGGGGAAGAGAACTGAATCCTCAGTGACAGGATTTGTAAGCTATACAAATCTCCTAAGTAAAACCAAGTATTGTAAATATTTATAGTTAAAACAAACATGACACCCATTCAAACAATAGAACTTTTTTTTTTTTTTTTTGAGACAGAGTTTCACTCTTGTTACCCAGGCTGGAGTGCAATGGCGCGATCTCGGCTCACCGCAACCTCCGCCTCCTGGGTTCAGGCAATTCTCCTGCCTCAGCCTCCTGAGTAGCTGGGATTACAGGCACACGCCACCATGCCCAGCTGAATTTTTGTATTTGTAGTAGAGACGGGGTTTCACCATGTTGACCAGGATGGTCTCGATCTCTTGACCTCGTGATCCACCCGCCTCGGCCTCCCAAAGTGCTGGGATTACAGGCTTGAGCCACCGCGCCCAGCCCAGAGCTTTTTTTTTAAATGAGATGGGCCTTGCTCTGTTGCCCAGGCTGGAGTGCAGTGGCACAATCATAGTTCACTGCAGCCTTGAAGTCTTGGGTGATCAAGCAATCATCCTGCCTCAGTCTCCTGAGTAGCTGGGACTATATGCACATGCCCAGCCAGTTTTTTAAAAAAATAAAAAGTTTTTTTTTTTTTTTTTTTTGTAGAGACAGGGCTCTTGCTTTGTTGCCCAGGTTCGTCTTGAACTCCTAACTACAAATGATCCACCCACCTCAACCTCCTAAAGTGTTGGGATTCCAGGCATGAGCCATCGCTCCTGGCGGTTTTTTTTTTTAAAGAGATGAGGGTCTCACTCTTTTACTCAGGCTGCAGCGTAGTGACACGATCATAGCCACTGTAGTCTTGAAATCCTGGGCTCAAGTGATCCCCTCACCTCAGCCTCCTGTGTGGCTGAGACTGCACATACACCACTGTGCCAAGCTCAAAATGACAGAATTTTTAAGCCTCAGATTTTTTTTTTTTTTTTTTTTTTTGAGACGGAGTCTTGCTCTGTTGCCAGGCTGGAGTGCAGTGGTGCAATCTCGGCTCACACAACCTCTGAATCCCTGGTTTAAGCCATTCTCCTGCCTCAGCCTCCCAAGTGGCTGGGATTACAGGCATGTGCCACCACAGTCAACTAATTTTTGTATTTTTAGCAGAGACAGGGTTTCACCATGTTGGCCAGGATGGTCTTGATCTCCTGACCTTGTGATCCACCTGCCTTGGCCTCCGAATGTGCTGGGATTAGAGGCATGAGCCACCCGGCCCTGCCCTAAGCCTCAGATTTAACATTTGACAGGCTGTAAGGGAGGGAGAACAGGATGGGGGGAACAAGGAAAAGTGTATGCAAAGGCTCAGAGGCAGGAATGAATTTGGCAATTTCAAGGAATTAGAAGGAGACCATTAGGCTAGAGTATAGTCAGGGAATGAGGGGCCTGGGGGCTGGAGTGGGAAGGACAGGACAGTTGCACCTTTGGTCTTTCAGAACCAGATGGGCACAGTTACTCAGGCCCTGAGCAATGCAGGTTTCTCTAGCCGCTGCCAGAATTTTAGCCGTTTAAGAGCTTCTGAGGATAGGAAATCGAATGAAACTGTAAGGTGAGGTATTCTTATCTCATGATTTCCAAACTGTCTAAAGAGTTATAGACCAAAGAGGATAGTATGTCCCTGCTACCTAACACAGTCAATCAGAAGACACAGTTATAACAAAGAATAAGGCATTGCCTGTGTTGCTACTGTAAATATATTCTGTGGGGTAAGTCAAGCATTAGAAACAATTCCTAACAATGGCATACAAGATGAGCTGTGCTAGAGATTCTGCCCATACTCCACAATCCCCCACAATTCTGTAATTAAAACAAAAAACAAAAACCAAAAAAACACCAAAACGATTTATCACTGCTGTGTCACCTTGCTCTGATCCTATATCCAAACATTGCTAAATTACCAAGTTTTCTTTGATTTTTTTTTTTTTATTTTTTGAGACAGGGTTTCACTCTTGTTACCCAGGCTGGAGTGCACTGGCGTGATCACAGCTCACTGCAGTCTCGAACTCCCAGGCTCAGGTGATCCTTCCATCTCAGCCTCCTGAGTAGCTGGGACTTCAGGCATGACCACCACCTGGCTAATTTTTGTATTTTTTGCAGAGACAGTTTCGCCACGTTGTCCAGGCTGGTCTCGAATTCCTGAACTCAAGTGATATGCCCGCCTGGCCTCCCAAAGTGCTGGAATGACAGGCATGAGCCACCGCGCCCAGCCCCAAGTTTCCTAAGTGTGATATAAAAGAGCCAGATAACGCAAAGACTGAAAGTCATCTTTGAGGGACAGGGAGAGATGACAAGAGAAGAAATGAAGGTTTCGTGAGTAATTATGACATGCTAGGGACTGCATACCTTTTTTTACTTAATCTTTATAATTACTCTGCAAATGCAGGGCTTGATAATCTGAAGTTCAGCTATATAAGTAACTTTCCCAAGGTTAAAAGCTAGTTTGTATTAAGTCGAAATGTAAATTCAGGTCTGTATGACTCTAAAGTCTCTATGCTGTTTTTCCTATCACATCACTCTGCCTCCTCTAAGATGCCCAAAATGCCAGATTAGTCCTTAATAATCTTAAAAGGTAGTGTTTTTAGAGTGAAGTATTATAGTTTTATACATCTTAAAACATTTCATAGTAATTTAAAACAAAAATAGATCATGAGAAAAACTATTTAGGTATTCGTAATTTCAAAAAGAAAAGTTGACTATATAAATGAGTAGACTAAAAGTATGTAAATTCTGGAAACTACATCTGGGTGAACAGATTCTCTGCTAGATCTCACCACTGTAGAATTTTGTTTTTAGCTATTTGAAAAAGGGGGTGTGGGATAACACATGCACATGTAAAAAAATTTATAGAAAGGTGTAAAAAAAAAATCTCCATCATTTATTCCTAGTCTCCCCCAAAGGAAATCACCATTAAATTCCTGTTTTTATTTCTAGAAACTTCTCTGTGCATATATCAGAATAAATCATATACATCCTTTAAAAATCCCTACTCAACTGGGTTCATTACCTACATTTTATTCTACACTTAGCTTTTGTCACTTAATATATCTTGGAGATCTTCCCACATTAGCACAAAAAGAGCTAACTCATTCTGTTTAATGACCACATAGCTTTCTATTACAGCTAGTGTTCGACTTACGACCACGATTGGTTCTGACAGACCGGTCGTAACACGATTTGGTCGTAAGTTGAGTAGGCTATATGTACAGTACTGTGAAATGATGTTATAAAAATCTTTAAGTCATATTTTATCATAATTTTCTTTCATTGTTGTTATATATCATAATTTTCTTTGTTCATTTTATGTCATTTGTATCAGAAAATGGGCTATTTAACAGAAAATCTGTTCTGCTAGATATCCCTCATCTGTACAGCCAGTGCTTGACTTACGACCACGATGGGTTCCGACAGACTGGTCGTAACATGATCTGGTCCTAAGTTGAGTAGGCTATATGCACGTGGAGATGGTAGTGCTGCCGGAAGCTGGTCCGCAGTCGTACACCCAGCTGGGCAACGTTTGTGCTGCCAGACGTGGAGCAGTCGTGGCTAGCAATTGTGGTCGTAAAGTTGAACGGTCGTAAGTTGCATAGGTTGTAAGTCGATCGATACCTGTAATTAATTCATCCAGACTATCAACAAACTTACGTGCTCCTTCCTCATCAGCACTCGCTGCTTCTCCAGTCACTCGAACACTATGCATTTGGAATCTTTTCTTGAATCTCTGGAACCAGCCAGTGCTTGCTACAAATTCTTGACTGTAATCTTCTCCAGCACGCTCCTTCAGAGTCTGAAATAGACTTCTCGCCTTCATCTGCACAGTAGAAAGACTTAATGGTGTCCGTTTTTGAATTTGATCTTCCATCCAAATATATAGCAATTTCTCCATTTCGTGGATGGGCCCGCTTCGTTGTTTTGTTATAACTGTTGATCGCATGGGTGCAGAACCTTTCACAGCTTCACGAATTCTTTCTTTATCTTTCAAAATCGTCGACACAGTTGAGTGTGATAACTTCGTATCACGTGCGATCACATTCACTTTCTTTCCTCCTTCGTACTGCTTAATTACCTTCATTTTCGTGTCGAGATCGATGGCCTTTCTTTCCTTCTTGGCAGGCTGAGGCGTAGACAAAGACGATTTCCTCTTGGTAGACATCTTGGGAGGGGTTTGATGAAAAATATCCAAGACACAAAACACAAATTGCTGCACCGAGTCTGGGATAACAGTTAAAATGGTGCATGCGGAGATGGTAGTGCTGCCGGAAGCTGGTCCGCGCTGTCGTACGCCCAACTGGGCAACGTTTGCGCTGCCAGACGCGAAGCAGTCGTGGCTAGCGATTGTGGTCGTAAAGTCGAACGGTCGTAAGTTGCATAGGTCGTAAGTCGATCAATACCTGTATATGGATGTATCGTAATTTAAGCAGTTCTCCTCTTACAGAATTTCAGTTGGCAGGGGTTTTGAAATCACAAGCAATGCTACAATAGATATTTTTACGTAACTATCTTGCATACCTTTGGAAATACCTATAGCTTAATTTCTACCAGTGGAATTGCCGGGTTGAAGAGCTGTGCATTTGACATAGCCTTGAACTCTTGGGTCATCAAGCAATCCTCCTGCCTCAGCCTCTTGAGTAGCTGGGACAATAGGCATGGCACTATGCCTAGCTAATTTTTTTAAAAAAATTTCTGGGCCGGGCACGGTGGCTCAAGCCTGTAATCCCAGAACTTTGGGAGGCCGAGGTGGGTGGATCATGAGGTAACCCCGCCTCTACT